ACACAAGGCACACAATACACAAGGCACACAATACACAAGGCACACAATACACAAGGCACACAATACACAAGGCACACAATACACACCACACAAACCCACCCCCTCCCCTCAAGAACCCCCTAAAAATGCTCCTTCCAAAACTTAAACCTCACCTCCCGACTATCCGCCACGCGACAAGCCCTCTTAATCTCCCTCGCCGCCACACTCGGCCCACAAAAGTAAACCCCCACATCCGTGCGCAGACTGCTCTCCAACCCGCCAATATACGTGCGATTCATGATGCCGTCGCGCATGGCCGTTAGGAGCTTCGGAAAGTCGGGGCGGCCGAAATTGGTGCGGGAGCGCAGTTCGGTCAAGGGGTCCTTGTCGGTGCCGACGGAGTTGAGGACGATGTTCTGGGCGGTGTCGGCGTCGACTTTCTGCGTGAGGTAGGTGTGGATGCGGAGGAAGGATTCGTGGTCGGAGCCCGGGGTGGGGGTGTAGCCGCTACCGCCAGACGTCTGGTTCTCGAGCGAGAGGAGGAGCGTCTGGAACCATTCGAACGAGGAGGTGTCTCTGCAGACCCAGATGAACTCGACGCGGCGGAGGCGGCGGGGCGGATTGGGGCTGTTGCGCAGATGGTAGATGTTCTTGAGGATGGCGGCCCAGGGGGTGACGCCGATGCCGGTGCCGATGAGGACGGCGATTTCGTTGTCGAAGACGTCTTCGGCCGGGGCGCCGTACGGCCCGTCGATGCGGATCTTGGGCATTTCCTGGCCGTGCTGCAGCGCGACCTCGTACATGCCCATGGGGTCGAGCTCGTCGTAGATTTTGGCCTGCGATTGGCCGGCGCCGAGGGCGTCGGCGAGGGCGCGCGTGAAGTCGCCCACCTGGCGGACGTGCACGGAGACGTAGGGGTCGAAGGGGCAGGAGGTGATGGTGAAGGGGTGCCATTGCTGGTAGGAGACGGACGGGCAGTTGAGGAAGAGCCATTGGCCGGGTTTGTACTTCATGGATGGCTTGACGAATTGGATTTCGACGGCGTCTGGGCGGGGGGAAGGGGGTTAGTATTTGCTTGTAGGATGCTTCCCTGGGAATAAGGAGACTTACCGTATGGATGGCGGACGACACGGACGATTGTGGTCTCGCGACGCATGCGGATTTCGCGGTAGAGACGCTCGATGAGGTAGATGCCGCCGCCAAAGAGCTCCCATCGCCAGCCCTCGTAGCCGATGCAGTGTTTCCAGAAGTTTGTCTTGTCGAAAGGGGAGTATGGTTGCGCGCTGTCACGGACGAAGCAGCCAGTGGCATGGGTGTACATGCCGAGCAGGAACGGGATGAAGAGGTGGTGGGTGTACCAGAACGTTTCAAACGACTGTTGCCGTATCCTGGCGTGTGCGGTCGTGTACATCAACATCATGCAGAGAAGCATGATGTGCCCCGTGATGCCGCCGGCCTGCGCGTAATGGATCTGGACTGCAAGCTCCGGCCGGACTTGGGTCTTCTCGACGTTGAAGAAGTTGACGTAGTGGGCTGCGGTATGGCAGATGGTGAAGAAGAGCATTGCGTATGCCACCTGTCGATGGAACCACTGTGACTCGTCGAGTGGGAGCCACCTAATCTTCGGCCGGATGACTCGAAGCAGATTCCTGCACATTGGCAGGATGATCAGGAGGATATCGACCGACAGAATCAGCCCGGCGCCTCGAGATATCCACACAGAGTACTGCAGTCCGTTCAGCGGCGCCAACCGTGCGTCGCCCTGTTGTTTCCACCTACATGCTGTCAGTCAGTCCATGGCCGGCAGAACAATCTCAACAAGACTTACCATCCTATAGCAAAGATGGCCCAGTGAAAGCCCCAGAATACAAAGTAGAAGAAGAGTTTCCGGAATGTGAACTGATCTTTCCACGATCTTACAGCCATCTTGTCCTGTGTGAATTTTCAATATTCTGAAAGAAATGGGGTATTGGTGTCTCTCGTTAATGCGCTCCCGGTAATGCTACAGACGTGTGTATTCGTGAATTGTAGTTTTGAGATGTAAATGCAGGATTACGAAATTAGCAACAGGTAGGAGGAGATGGGAGTGGCCTGCACCGGCAAAGGAAAGCAAATAGACCAGAGGAAGAAAAAAAAAAGGACCGGCCAGCCAGAAGAGGAAGTGAAGAATTAGAGAGTATGGCTCCAAGGAGATGGACAGCGTCTGGACAGAGACTGTTTCGGGGTGGGGACGATGTTAAGAAGGACTGGCAGGGTCGACGATTGAGCGGTCTGAGCGGCGCTGATGGTATTGCAAGGACAAGTGTGAACGTTGGTGCGAACACTCGAAACCGGCCGTATCAGCAATATGGACGGCTCAAACGGTCGTAAGAACCCTTCGACGATGGGGCCGCTTGACGGTGGTGGTGTTGACAGACGATCGGCTCGCGTGGGGCAACGTGTCAAGGCGCCGATTCTGGTAAGAGAGATAGAGTACAGAGGGAGAAGATGTCATGCAGAAGTCGGCGGTCGAATCTGCGTCTCAGATCTGTAGCGGATCTCGGGGTATAGTTTGACGACGTTTGAGATGACCTTGTAGGGCGGTGGTAGATGGCACGGATGTCAGCGCATGTACCCTTCCTTGATATCCTTTTCGTCTCGGAAGACCGAGAATAGGCAGAGAGAGGGACGCAATCCCTATCTCATCATCGTCATCATGCAAACGGGAAATAGCTGTGTGGTGGTGAGTTCACGGATGAGATGTACTGATAGACTGGTGGTGGTGATGATGATGATGATGTTTGCGCAAGACCTGGACCAGATTTGATATAATACTGGCAAAGATGTTGTTGCTATTCTCGCAGTGGCAGTGAGTACAGCGCTTCCAAGAAGACGATTTGCGGTGCTGAGTTGAGCGAGCGCAAAGGGAATCTGAGACGTTGGAGGCGCTGAAGGGGTGCTTCTGAGACGAGGGGTGTGAGACGGGAGGGCGGGAAAAGCGTTAGCGAGGCGGTTTTGCTTTTGGTGGGCAGCAGTTGTTCGGGCGACACGGATGGATTACGTAGCAGTGACTTGGCAAGAGACACGAGTGTAGAAGTCGAAATGGTGGTGGTTGTGGTATAATGGATGTATATCCAAGATGATGATGGTGATGCTGGTGTTGAGAAAGCGTGTCGTCAAGTGTGCAGGCCAGGCATGGATAGGCACAAACAGGCACAGACAGGCACGCAACGCATTGGAACGCAACGCAACGCAACGCAGCGGGAGTCAATTGCGGAGCGCTTGTGGAAAAAGGCTGGACCCGCCGACAAGGGCTAATACTACATGATATGGGTTACCCTCGCACGCTCTCCCCGCTGCACATGTACGGCGTAGAACTCTATCACAGCTACAAAGCTACAGAAAGGGACCATCTTCTCCGTCAAGTCACAAGGGAGGGGGAGGAAATTGAGCAGGCCACCAATGGAAATGCGCAAAAGGCCAGCCGAGAAAGAACAAGGCTAATAATGGTTGAATAGCTAAGCAGACGGTCTGGACAGTCAACGGTCCAACCAGCTGTGGGAGACAAAGAAGAGGCAGGGCGAGGCAGGGAGAGGGCAGCCAATCGACAGCGAGCTGTACGCGCTGCCTCTACGTCGTCCAAGACTCCAAGACTCGAAGCGACCTGACGAGCCTTTTTCATTGGGTTGTCGGAAAAGCAGATACGGCCAAGTATCAAGCCACACAGGTCGAAGCATCGTGGAAGGTTCCTATTCATAGATATGTACTGGCATGCAATCTCCCAAGGCCGCTTCGGTGGCCAGAATGTGGCAATGTGAGAGTGATCAAGCCGCAATCGATAGCGAGATGTGACTTGTGGCGCCATCGTGGAGTGCACGACTCGTGTAGTGCGCTGAGTCGTGCAGTTTGTGGTAGCCGCATGATCAACCATCTTTGACTAGCGATGATAGATGTGAGGATGGTAGATAGTGCTATAGACAAGCATGGCACTCCCGTCTAGTAACATGGTGCTGGCACGTTCTTCGTTTGTGCAAAGTCGTTTGGGTAGACGGTTCTTTCGGCTTTGCTAGTGGTGATGTCGTCGATACACACTCTCCACTGCCCAGTGGCCATGCTACCTCTTGCGGCTAATGTGGTGGAGAGTCCGGCAGTCAGTCGTCCTGGACCAACAGCCTCCACACACATGGCCACTCGAAGCAAAGCATGAATCCGGGAGATGACAGGAGGTTAACGCTGACGCTGACAGGAGTAGAGCTGCAGAGAGAGGCTCAGCGATGCGCGCACCATGTCTTTCTTCACGGAACTGTGCCGGACGAGCGACAACAGGCAGAGGGCAATCGGATCTGAAGCACGTCTAAGCAACGTGTCTCTCATGCACAGCCAGGCATGACGATGCTAACGATGCTGATGATGATGATGATGGAGAGGAAGCATTAATTAGCGATATGTGAGAGAGAGAGAGCGGCAGTAGCAGCAGCACGTGGTGGGCCATGCGACGGGCGAGAGTGGGGTCTGGCAGCTGGGACGGGTCTCTGGGATCCGTCTGGGTGTCTGGGAGTCTGGGTAATTAATTAGAAGGGATAACCGTGCAAGCGAAGTGGACGGACGACAGCAGCAGCATCATCCTAAAGAGGTTAAAGAGAAACGAAGAATCTACTTGCAATGCAGATGATGGAACTCTACGCGTGTTGAAGCGAGAGGGGGAGAGAGGAGAGGTGAAGCATAGAAAGCAGCAGGATTACTATAGTGTATGATTGATGTGCAGGACAATTGACCAATCAGAACGGCTGAAAGGCTTCATGGTTGATGCACAGACAGCGGGCGGAAGCGACTCGCCAAACTCGCCAAAGTGGAACAGATGCAGCAAAAGCAGCCCAGAGTTCGGGCGAGTCGGGGCGTCTTTGTCGTCTTTGTCGTCTTTGTCGCTCCCAATTGGCGGACACTCGGCGGGACTTGGGGGGGACTTGGGGGGCACTTGTCACTGATTCGGGGGGAGGGGGGCAGCAGGGGGATGATGGCGATTGGGCACGCCACGAACGGCAAACATCCCTGTAGTCTTCTCTTGTCGGCGCTTAAACTCATGCACGCTTCATGCATCACAACCCATACACTTCAACACACTACTCGACATCCTCTCTCTCCACTTCATGCCCAGTCCCCCAGTTCGCATCCTCTCTACAATACCAAGCCTGCACACTGTCAGCCATGCCTGTTTTCGTTAATCGCATATTCTGCTGCTTGCCCGTCTGCTCCTCCCCCCCCTCTCCTCCAATGAGCCCGCTCGAGCCATCTTCATTACGAGCCTTCTCTCTCTCTTCTTCTTCTTCGCATGAACTTCTACCCCATCTTACCGCTCTCATGACACTCGACGAGTATCGTCTCTCTACATCTGACACTCTCCACGCTGCTTCCGATCTACTCCACTGAGCCGCACCATCACTCACTCCGTCCTCCCCTATCGAGAAGCTTCATCTTATCTTGCACGCCAGAGAGCGATATAACCGTCCGCCGTTCCGCCCTGCCATACATACCGTTGCCCGAGCATGTTCCTGAGATAGTCAAGCTGAGCCATTTCGCTGTGCGATTTCGCTCTACCCCGTGCTGAACATCGACTCTTTGATTGATCAAGAACCGCTGGCAACGGTCAATCGTCCTTTCTTTTTCACTTTCTCAAACCTCCATACCATACCACATCATGGGCAAGCTGATCAAGAACCACTGGGCCCGGCTGATCGTCCTCACTGCCGCAGCGTGTAAGTCTAATTCCATTACACAGCTTCAAAGTACTGACGCAATCCTCCCCCAGACCAAGTCGCCGCCTCAATAGAAGGCTTCTTCTGGCCCAAGATCTTCTGGGACTTTCTCACCAAGAACCTCGACGGCGCCGTCAAGCCCGTCCCCGCCCTCCAGATCCTCAATCTCGTGCTCGGCCTCTTCGCGCTCGCCTTTGAGTGGCCCATCAGGCCCTTTGCCGGCACCACCATCCACCGCTCCATCGAGGCCCGCCTCGTCATCTATCCGCTCTCCGCCCTCTGCTGCCTGCTCATGTACCAGTCCACCAACCCGGGAATCTACTACACCATTGCCATGGGTGTCTACTTCTGGGCCTACAGTGAGGGCGAGATTGTCTGTCCGGAGCCGTGGACGCTGCCGAAGCGTAGCGCGCGCGGGCCCGTCAAGGTCTGATATCCGCCGGGCCTGCATGCCCATCAATCTTTTTTTGGCGATTTATTACTCATTTCATTCATCTTGCATGGGGGGGCGCGCGGCGAGAGGCATGTTGAGCGCACGCACACACGAAACGAAGCATTTAGAAGAGCGTTTAGATACCATTTTTCCTTGTGTCTGGTCCGGCATAGCGATTGGCGTTTTGGAAGTACCCTTGAGAGAAGGAGACCTGACTGTTGATTGCACGGTTGGATGTCAGAGATGCGAATATGGGATATTGGGATATTGGGATATTGAATAGGAACGGTGGACTCTGGGATATAACGGGACCTATAGCGTGTATAGGACAGGCATTGTAGCTGGTGCTGGTGCTGTAATTACCTGCCCTGCCTAGCTGGCTAGCTAGCTACGGACTACATAATGGACGAAAATTCTACGACCCGAGACATGTCTCCGCACTACCCCTCCTTTTTGCCCGGAGCGCCGAACACCTATAAGCTCTGTATTAAGCTCTAATATAAGCTGCCTACCTACTTTATTCTCCTAGTCGAGTCGTACGGCATGAGACATGCTGCACACGCAGTAGTAATTCACATGTAACCTGGAACACATACATATTTATGTCTATACAGTATACATCTATTATCTATACAGTATACAGCATCCAGTATCAACACCCAGTCCTTACACCATCCAACATGCACTAGAAGCAAGCTGGCCTACAGTACACACCGAACCCCCAGTCCGTACCTCGATTTCGCGAACCAGCCACTACTACAGCTACAGCTACAGCTACCACACCACCCTTGTATCCAGCCACCCCCCAACAAACCCTGTAAACTACTTGCTTCCTAGACACATCCTTGCATCTCCATCCATCCATCCTTGCACATCGTAACTAATTACTGTAGAATCTAAAGCAAGGCACACAAACTAGTTGCACACTGTAGATCGGGATTGCTGTGCAGCAAGCAAGCAAGCAAGCAAGCAAGCAAGCAAGCAAGCACATCGGATCTGCGTGTTGTCCTTTGTTCTTTGTTCTTTGTTTCTTTTTGGCGGGGTGGCGTGGATTGTCTTGTCTTTATACTGTTTTGGGGTTTGTGTTGTCTCATTTCCAATGGCGCGACTACTACATGCATTCATACAGTACGTAGACATGCGCGCACACATACACATACGCGCGCGCGCACACGCAGGAGGCGAGATGGTAGACAAAGACGAGCAGATGATTAGATGTGGATTATATCCGATGACAGTGTTTTATTTTTAAATCTCCAACTTCATCTGAATTACATCTACTCTGTTTTTTTACATCTTTATTTATATCTTCATTCTTTACTTAAGCTTGGTTTCTTTATTCTTTTACTTGAATGCGAAAATTCATCATTCTTTAATTTCGTATCTGTATTTCTATTTCTATTTTCTTTTTCTTTTCTTCTTTCTATTTTTTTTTTTCTCTTTTGTTCTGCTTGATTTCTTATTTTAGTAGTGGTGTTTTTCGTATTAGCATTTTCAACAGTGCCATTTTTCGTATTTGCGCCGTGAGTAAGAAGAGTTGCGCACTGTCGCGACGCTTTGTACCCTGCGCTTGGTTGTTGTTGCTGTTGTTGTTATTGTTGAATACATCCATGCCAGAGAGAGCCCGAGCCACATGTCCAGAATGGATGCACTCTATCCATCCATCCATCCACCCACCCATCCATCCATCCATCCACCAACGACAAAGGCGACTACTCAAACAATTGCAAGGGATCCCCTCCATCCAATTCTCCATCCAAGGCGGCAAGCAAGGATCCTGACCTCCCTTGGTCTCTGTCTAGCCGCCCCGCTGCCCGCTGCCCGCCCGGCCGCGAGCGAGAGCTGGGTGCGTGGTGTTGGGTGCGTTGCATGCCTGGTGCGCGGGCCGTGGGTGCGTGGGTGCGTGGGTGCGTGGGTGGGTATGTACTGTGCTGTGCTGTATTGTGCTGTGCTGTGCTGTGCTGTGCTGTGCTGTGCTGTGCTGTGCTGTGCTGTGCTGTGCTGT